ATAACCCAAACCGAACCGACCCGACAAACATAAAAAAAAAACCGACTAAAGATAAAAGGGAAAGAAAGAAGCCGTAGAATTTTCAATTTTCAGTTCTTCTGTTCTCCCTCCACTCCTGTCCTTCCACTCCCTCGCACACTCGCACAAAAGCCCTAATCTTTCAGCACTTGAAGATTAGGCAATGAATCAACCAACAAATCATCTAAATCTATCATCTCCTCTCCTCCTCCTTCTAGTTCCCACTCTTGAATATTCTTCCAGAAAGGCAAGTTCGTCCAAAAAGGTGAAAACCACTTAATTCTTCCAAGTTTATGTGACTCAAAGGTAAATCTATATTATAACTTACCCGATTCAGTTCAAGATTGGGCACATCACGCACGGGCACGGCACAGTCTCACTCTCACAAATCTATTTTTCGTATGCAGTTCAAGATTGATTGTTTGATTTGTTTCTTTTGTTTTTTAGTTACTTCCTTCCAAGTTCCAAGGGTAGACTGAAGCTGAAAGCCGAAAGCAAGTTTATTTTTTTTATAGTTATTTCTGACATTTTAGAGCTTTTCAAATATCTTCTTGTTGTTGAATGGAATGACAGAAATGGATCCTAAAGTTAATGGATTGTTGGTTCATAGGTTTTGTTGTATAATTTGAATGATAGACTACATCAGTCCATGGCAGGACGGCACTATAGGCTTTAAATAAAATGTCTGTGAAACTCATTTAAATGCTCAATTATCAAGGTTCTGCTTTACCTTGAATGTTCCTAGTTAAAGGAAGTTGAAATATCTTGTATGATTTCTACTCTGATAGGGGCTTGAAAAAAGTATTTGATGGTAGTTGAGTAATTTTGAGCTGTTTCACCATTCTTGATCATTTGCAATTTGGATTTGAACTAAAGGTAGTTCAAATAATTCTACATGTAGTATGCTCTTTTTACAGTTTTCAGTAATGTAATTTTCTGATGTCCATTGACAGAAATTTTGCTTACATTTGTTATCTGTTGATGAGCACGGGCTTTATGTGTAAATGAAAAGTTGATGTATAAATTATAATATATTTGTCGTCTGCAATGAGATGCCTTGGGATCTTGTGTTTTTTATGGAATTGTATATAGATTTTAGAGATGACATAAAGGCATTACAGAACCTGAAGGATAGACAAAATGATATCTGTTTAGTCTCTTTTTAATTTGTTGTTTTGATGTTAAATACCAATACTCATTTGGTTATTGATTTCCTATGTGTAGCTGAATATTTCTTCGTCGTTCTCTATTCATTGATCCTCACATGCCAGTTATTCTGAATTTCTGATATTGCTTCTTGAAACTCGGGAATAATATTTAAGCAATGTTGTTGCATAGGTCCTCTTCCAAAATGATTGTCCTGCCACTTTACTTGCTAGAGTGATTGGAATCATAGGCCCTGTCGACCAAGAAATGCTTGCAAAAGGACGAGAGACATACAAATATTTCACCAAAAATCACATGCTGTATGAGAAGAACCAGGTAATGTTCCTTCTCGGCTTTTGTTTATAATTCTCCCCTAAAGTGCCAAACAAAATACTCTTCATCAAATACTATAAAACCAACTAGTTACGATGTAAGGGAATATAATTATGGTTATGATTTTGGGCTTCTTATTCAAAGATGGGTCTAGGTCATCACAAACCGACCAACCCAACCCAACCCGACCGACATTTGGTTGGGTTGGATTGGGTTGGGTTNTAGGTGAACGCAAGGAGGGGTGCGTGCGGGTTGGTGTTTTGTTAATTACATGATATTTTAAAACCCGTGTTTGAGTCATATTAAAATTCTCATTTTCATTCTTTTACTCATTTTTAACCACACATTTTTCAATAAAATAATATTTTTCATCACATCAATAACTTTTCATTCCTTTTCAATCACAAATTCTTCATCAATCTACTATTCTAGAATACATTCTGCCAAAATAATGTGACTCAAACACACCCTAAATTTCCTTTTTCAATATGTTGCACACATTGTCTCTCAAAGCTATCACCCTCACCATTCCAAGGTAACTACTATCTTCCTTCCCACTTCAATTTTGCTCATCAATTAAAAAAAAATTTTTTTTTTTTCATTGCATGGACACTTGAAACATTTGGGGGCATGGGATAAGGAAACGTGCCCAAAACATTACATTTAGACTTCAAAGTATCAATTTCATCAAGAATTCGAAAAGTCTGGTTATTCTTCCAATACCACTGTCACTTATGTGCTCTATTTCGTGAATCCGATACGCTCTCCTCGCTTGTTTACTAGCATTTTGCTTTTCTTCATCCACCATTTCACTATTAAGCACTTCCAAGTTTATCATTTATTCTCGAATTTATACAATTGGTGAGTTGAACGTCGAGAACTTCTACCGATGATGAAGAAGAGGTAGGTTGGAGAAGAAAATGTGGCTACGCAATGAAGGAGGCAGTTGTAGTGGTGTTGGAAAGAAGTGGAATTTTATGGTGGTTTGAACATGGGTTACTATTGTTTGACTATGCTACGAATGGAGTGGTAGGGGTGGATGAAGGAAGAGTGCGTGAGGGAGTTATGGTGGAGGAGATCCATATATTTCCTTTGGAGCTTCTCCAATCTACTATGGGTTTGGGGGTTGGATTTGAATGTAATTACTACGTGATTTATAATTTTAATTGAGTTTTAAGTTTTCGTTTGTTTCTCATTTTTATCCATAAAAATGAAAAATATGACCGTTATCATCATATCAAGTCATCAATTTTGAATTTCTATCTCTTGTGTATTCTCATTCTACAATAATGAGAATCAAATGGGTTCTAAGAATATTAATCAAATATCCTATTTTTGTGAGGTGTTTGACCTAATTTCCCCTATATTAAATATCACATGAAATGAGAATCATTTTTTGGACGATTATAGCCCTAATACAATTCAGTTATTTTAATAATATCTTATTTTTTGTTTTTCAATATGTATTTAATTTATAAACTGTAATAAATACTATAATTAATTGTCGATTGATTAACATTAACATTCACATTCATTTAATTAATATTAATTAGAATTTCACATCCATGTCCTTGTTATTAATAATTAATTAACGTTCATATTTATTTAATTAATATTAATTAGAATTTCTCATTTAATAATGTAATTCATTATTCATGTCCATGTAAGTTAATTATTATCCAATTTAACTTAATTGGAAATTAAATTATATTCATTTTATATAAATGATTTAACATTCATTGTTACGTATATATTCATTGGTATTAATTTTAAATTAATTAACATTCATGTTAATTAATTTATCGTATATGACATCCATCTTCATTTATGCATTTAGTTGTAATTCTAATACTCACATTTAAATATATATATTTCACTATTTATGTGCATATATAATAATTAATATTTACTTTTAGAAGTTTGCATTTATCTTATATTTAGATCAAAAAGGTAAATGGAGGATCAAATGTTACTTTTGCAGTGCTTATAAAGTATTTCAGAATAACGTGCAACGCATGCTCAACTCTGACTAGTACAGTAAAACTTCTATAAAATAATAATGTTATGATGAAAAAATTATTATTTTAGAGGTATTATTAACTTATCAATAAATAAATATTTATTAATTTATAGAACAATTTATATTTTTATAACTTGTATCATATTTTACCATAATACATGTAAGAAATTCAAAAAAAAAAAAATTTATTGAATGTGGTGAAATTCAAAATTTAATATGTGGGCACACAAAAGGCTTACACATACATACATTAAAATAGAAATATTAATGTACAAGCATTGACTTCAAAGTTTAATATTTTGGAAGATTAATCGTTCGCTAATTTGTATTAGTATGAAATTAAAACTGTTAGTTTGGTAAAATTAGGGATTAAGTAGAGTTTGATTTGGGTGCAAAGAAAAAGCAAAATACTTTAGATAAATATTTTGAAAAACGGACGAATTGAAAACAATGTTGTCAAATTAAAAGTTTGTTAATTTGTATTAGTATATTTTTTATGAATTTAAGCAATTATATTTTATATATCCGTTGGGCCTTAAATGAATTTTTTTTAAAAAAAAATCATAAGTAAGAGTTTAACTATCACTCATTTCAAAACTAAGATAAAAGATTTAAAATTTCAACAATCGGATATTTATTAAATTTTATTTATGAAATAATTAATTAAATATATTAAGGTCACAATTCCATATATTTGGTCACAAATTCTCGAATTAATTGATTATCATTTTTTATCTATCACAATTCAAAAAAATTAAGGTAACAAATTATTTCTTGATCACAAATGACAAATTTTATAAGTCACATTAACAAATCAGAAATTTTTACAGATTACAATTTATTCATCGGTCACAAAATGAAAATATTGATATGTTATAATTCATTTATCGGTCATAAATTATAAATTTTATAAGTTACAACTTATTTAAGGATCACAAATTATCAAATTAATTAGTCATAAGTTATTTTTCAATCACAACTTAATAAATTGTGAGTTACAATCTCATTTTTTATGTTACATATTATATTGATCACAAATTACCTAATTTATTGATTACAATCAATCAATTTATTGATCACAAACACTATTGGACCCACTTAATCGCCACCGCAACCGCCTGCACCATAACTGTTTGCGACCACCATTGGCAATAGCGCCAGATCAACCACCACACCAATGCCAAAGTCTACTTGTACTATCGTCAGTTCCTCTACATAACAACCAATAAAAAAAACCCAAAAAACCAACAAAATCTGATTGCCTCAGCCAATACCAACACCACCAACACATATACCCCCAGCTCCAGTGTCACTATCACCATCAATACCTCGCCAAAATTGCCAGCAGTACCACACTTCACCCCACCACCACCATCGCCATCACTTTAAAACCACCAAAACATGAAAACCACTACCACAAATCCAACAATTAAAAAAAAAAACCACCAACGCAATCTGGATCGCTGTCGCTACGATCTATGCCATCACCATTGCGATCTATGCCACTACAACCACGATCTATAGAGCCTTCGGTGGCACTCACAGAGAAGGAACGGTTTTACCCGAGATTTACAGAGTTTTCGATGATCTGAGTCGCTGCTGGCCCGATTTGCAGTCAAGAAATGACTTCACCAACAATGGTCACAGCGAAGAAGATAGAGAGACGATCTCCAATGGAAGCGCTATCCAACGACGGAGGTTGACGAAAGTGTATAGAGTCGAGAGAGGAAGATGAGAGAGAAAGAGTGAGATATAGAGAGACATTGGAGATAGAGGAACAAATATAAATTTAGAGTTTGTAGTGAGGTGGGTGGATGGGGTACGTTAATTAATTTAATTTTATAATATTATTATTATTTAAATTTTTAATTTTATCTGATTTTTAAATATAAAAATTTTTATCTCTTAATTATGAATTGAAATCTTGAAAACANAAGATAATTATTTGTATTGTTACAAATTTTTTTTTTTTTTTTTTTTTAAATATTATCTTATGTATTTAACGGGGTTATTAATTTAGTACATTAGCCCAATTCAGATCGAATAATTTTATTATTTAAACGAGATTATTAGTTTATCGACGTTTTACCGTAGAATTAAAGTCAACACAGGGTCTCACCACCCCTATAGGGTTTCTGAATGTTGTTAACTTTTATTTATAACAAAATTAATTATGGTCCACTATAAAGTCTCAAAATATCATCCTATTTTTATATTTAATTTCAAATAGAATTTTAATGATAATGATATCTTGAAAACGAAAATAAAAATGAATTATTAAAGCAATTACATACGTCATTTTTAGCGTGTTATTTTAAACTTTGGATTTAACGATTTTTCATTTTGAAAAATTCGATGAGAAGCTTGCAATAAATATTCCAAAATGGTACCGAAAACCTCTCCGACTAGTGGAAAAAGAGGTTGCGTAAAAATAGGAATAAAAAAAAAAAAACGAAAGTTACGAAGTATGTGATTTTTTAATTTTAAAAGACTCTTGTGCATACTTCCTATATAGGTCTGTAACTTACTATCAAGCTAAGCATATTGTAATAAATAAGCCAAAATTAACAATATGTGACTTTTATATATCAAATGTTACATAGTACTGTGACTTTTTGATTGAAAACTACATCAAATAGGTGAAAATAAACATTATATGACTTTTTAAAAAAGTTACAGAGTATTCCATTTTCTAATAGATCAATTTAATTCGGATGCAACATAATAAAATAACAAAATATCATTTAAAGGATCCTTATAATCGCTATATAGTTTTAGCCGAACATGTTATATCAAATAAGCCAGACACGTTTGTTATTTTCTAATTCAATATAATTGAAGCAAACATACGCCTTAATTAAAAATATGTGGCCAAAATATTGAATAAATATATTTAATCGAAGTGTAAATTATTAAATTTTGAGCATTATATTTCATTTTTCAGCTGTACATAGGGAACATTATGCTTCTTTTAACAATAGACTAATGTGACGTTTTATTGAGAAATTGATTCTTAATGTAACTTCAAATGAAGAAGTGACAAATGCTATAATTACGTTGTTACAATTTTCTTATTGTTTCTTGAATGCTACTCTAGTTCTAATAACTTAATTGGCATCTCAAGTAACACAACAAAAAGGAAAACAACTTGATATTTTAGTTTAAAGTTTTTTTTTTTTTTTTTCACATTGTATTGTATTGTTATTGTCTTTCTAGCTGAATTCAATTTTTATTATGAAAATATAGTTTTGCTAGGTATACATTCATGGTTGACAATTTTTTTGACATTGTGTGATGTGGCACACAGTTTTGCTATTAATTTTAACATCATCTAAAACAATCAATGATCTCGATTTGTACGTCTTACACAATGTCAACCAGGATATATACAAAGAATGTACAAGTAGAATAATTCATGGTTAGTCCATCATGTTCTTTTGAGAAAATGACCACTTTTGTGGAAATTTTGCAAAAGGCCAATTCTAAATGAAACTATCAAAAATGTTCTTAACGTTTGATTTTTCATAAAACATAATTTTATAGGTAAATAACTTTTGAGACAACTTTTAAAATTTTTCAAAACAAGAATTATTTTGAGAAACAATTGGGGGGATATATTAGACAGTTCTAATTGTCTTGGAAGACAGTTCGACAAATCAAGACAGTGTCAAACTGTCTTCCAATGTTTAGCATACCAACTATCGTCTCGCAAAATGAATTTTTTTCTTGTTTGAGATTTGCCTCAACGAGTATGCACCCAAATGAATTTTTCTTTTGCAAACTTTCAAGACTTGTGTTGGAAGTTATGCACTTGCCAAATGGGATGTATTATTTCTATCTACAAAAAAGCACATTTTATTACCAGGTTATTATGATCTTGTTTAGGATCCATTATTTCACATTTTAATGAGAATAAGTAATTCTTTCGAGAAAGTATTTAAAAAAAAAAACAAATTTAATTTAATGGGGAAATTATTGTTTTTTATAATTTTTTAATCAAATCATAAACTTAATACGTATTTTGCATCACGAAACATTGGGAGGGTGAAACAATAAAAATTACACTTAGAAGTTATTTTCGAAGTATAAAAGTATTTGACTAAAAAAAATAAAAACAATTTAAGTTTTACAATTCCGAATAGGAATCCATTTGATCATAATTTTCAAGAAAGTGGATCGGACCAAGGGTGACCTCCACCCCTTCGCCTACAAATAAATATATGATTAATCCATATTGGCGTATTCTATTGCGGAAAGAAAGAGCTCTAAAGATCAAAGCATTCACTTCAAAGATCATCAACCAATTTTCATCCTCAAAAATCAAGTAATATCCATAAATCTAAAGGTCCAAATTTTCATTTTTGATTTCAAGAATTTGATAATTAGTAGTTGGGGTGCATAAATTCAGATCTTGGTTTTGGTATTTTGATTAATTCAGGATTTCAGATGGGGGCATTTATATCGAAGTTCTGGTTCATGATGTTCCCTGCCAAGGAATACAAGATCGTGATTGTGGGGCTTGACAACGCTGGCAAAACGACGACGCTTTACAAGCTGCACTTGGGAGAGGTAGTTACTACGCATCCTACTGTTGGAAGCAACGTCGAGGAGCTTGTCTACAAAAACATACGATTCGAGGTGATATACTGAATATTCTAATTTAAGTTGTTAATTAGCCTCTGATTTTTATGGATTGTTTGTGTGCTGGAATTATAAATTGTAGAAAATTTGTTGCTTTAATAAGTTTTTTATTACTTTGATCCAATTGTGATGGTTTTTTTTTTTTAATAGGTTATCTGTTTTTCTTTTGAGATGTGCTGAAAATCTTTTACTAACAGTCTCATTAAGTTTATTTCACATGGTATTTTTGGATATTGTGCTTGCATACATTTGAGTAAATTCTTAGATGTAATTTTAAGTTTAAAAGTCATATTGCCTTAAATTTGGAATCAGCTGAAGAGAATAAATATATGCATTTTTGTGTTGTGGCATGTCTGATCTAAATGAAAGTGCACCCAATTACTCAGTGTATGTATTTAACGAATATTATGTGATTTCTATCCTTGAGATTAGGATATCAGCGCTTTCAATATTGTTCCATGTAAATTGAAAATTACAATGGATTAATCACGGAAAAGCTTTATATGTCCTGATGATAGTAAAATTCCTGGAACTTATGCCATACCCCGAGGTGGCCATACTGGGAAATAAGGTTTCAATTGGAGGTTAATGATTTAATATACTAAAGATAACTTTAGGATGCTCGAGTTAAACAATATCAACGAAAAAATGTTCATCTTTCTAACAAAAACTATTAAACTCTAAATTGTGGCGACAAAAATGTGTAGATTTGAATAACATTCAGCAAAGATTTACATTACATGTATAGGATGTACAGGATTTCAATGCACTTTTTACTTGTCGAGTATGCGTTTCTTGGTGCCAGTGGGTTGGACTGTGGCAGGTTATTAGAATTAGATTTAATGGGACTGAGTGTTTTTCTGTGGTTTCTACTTTCCACTGCTGAAATGTTCTGTTCGGAGGTTTACTGGTGGTGTTGTTGTTGGGATCAATAGCCAGACCTCTTTCCAATTCAGAAGATTGATAACAAGAGCAGTTACCTGGTGGATATTGGTAATTTAAAGGATGTTCGTATTCTCATGCTTTATTTTCTGGATTGCATCAAATGTTGGACAGAAGAGGATATAAAGTGATATGATGGAGATTTTGAATATCTCATATTGTGCTTATTTCTTGAATGTGCTAGTAATAGATTGCAAAACATGAATTAGGTTTGATCGGGATTCATCTATTATGGGGTCAGAAGGTTAAAGACTGAATCAAGGTGGAATGCGGCCAGTGGCTTGGGTTCTTTTGTTTTTGCTACTGAATTTCTATTGATATATCAACATTCGATTTTATATTTTGACCAAACCACAAAATTTAATATGAAATCTCTAGGGGAAGGTAGTAGTTAAAGTGCATTGCAACAAATGTAAAATGTGCACCCACGAGTTTTAGATTCCTTTAGATCCCTAGCCCCAAATGGAAACTGTGGCTATGAGTTTTTGCATTTTTTCATCCATAAAGTGGCTTTAGAAATTTGTAAAATATACATTTGATCCCTTAAAAACAATTCTTCAATCCAAAAGGCCCTAGTTATTATACAAAAATCCATGAAAACCAAAAATACAAAATCTTGACACTGTCAAAAACTAATGACTAGGCTAAGAATTAAGTTGTGAACAATGCTTTAAAAAGCTCGCATATGCTCGAAGTTCGGGCAAAAAGCCTAGCTTTGCCCCTAGGCACTTTTTGTTTTCAATTCCTAAACGGCTGAATTTTTTCTTTCGTCTATTTCATCTTCCCTAGGCACGCTTTATTAAATTTTTTCTTTTTTTCTTTTTTAAAAAAGTCATTTATTTGACTTTACTTTATTAATTTTTTATTTTTTAATAAATTTTTCATTTAACTTTAATTTCAAATTTTTAAAAGACTTTATCTGTACAAAACATGACTTTATTCGATAAAGAGTTAAATAAGATTAAACTACGGTGTTATCTGCATATGTAATTACGATCTTGAAACTCGTTATTTTGTTGAAAATTTCGAAAATATGTATGAAATTCCTATAAATATATAAAGTAGGACTTGTCTAGTTAAAAATTACAACTATGAAAAATAATGTAGTTTTTTCATTTCAAAAATTATATAATTGACTAAGTATAGTAATTATTAATTAAATATAGTATTTTATAATTTTAGATGTTTGATGTGTATAATTTTAATTATTAAATGATTTTTAAAATGATTAAAAATTTAAAATAATATTAAAAATAAGAAAACGTTTTTTTTACATCTAGGCATTGTTTGGGCTCGTAAAACTTGAAGTTTCGTTTTCACGCCTAGCCACGCTTTATGCTTTTTAGAACACTGGTTGTGAATGAATAATCATCAACTAAAAGAAATATCAGATATTGCTTTTATGTCAATCTTTGTTTATGTGCCATATAAATTGATAGATATATTTATTTTCTTCATTGCTAAGATCTATTTGTGCACACATTTTCTAATTATACTTTGCACGTAAACACGCAATCATGTGTGATGTATGTAAAATGGAAATAGCATTTTACCTCCAATACTTGATGACAAGCTGCACTGCCATGTCCCTTTCAAGAGCTCTCTGTGAAAATAATGGAATTTGCTGAAGGCTGATATGAACTCTCCTTTCCGTTTCCTCTACATGCAGTGTTACTTAATTCACACAATAACAAAGGAAATAACAGCACAAAAAACCAAACCCTTATCCCAAACTTCTTTAGTCAAACATATGAGCTTACGGGTTAAAAATAATATGTGGGCTTGTGTTGGGTTCTAATATTATTTGCCAAATTTGTCCATCCAATGACGGCCCAACATTGATACCATACACATATAGCCTCTGTTTGGGCTCCATTTTCGTGGAAATGCATTTTTCTCTTTCTTATTTTCAACCACACATTCTTCAATAAAATAATATTACATGTAAATCCAAAACTTTTCCTTATTTCTAAACGACACATTCTTCAAAAATCACTATTCCAAAATACATTTTTTTCTCAAAATCTATTTTCCATAGTGTTTGGGGTATAATTTCATCGTTGTCCAAATCATGCTTTAATTCATAAAGCCAGACTATTAACATATAATTTATGGTAATGCTGACCAAGACTAGTACTCATGACGGATTTTCTCACAAGTGTGCGAGTAAAGCAGACTTAGAAAACTATATTGTCTATGTGTCCGGTATTACATATTGGGCCATAATTTGATGGACACAAGTTTGTGACTAATTTACTTAAGGCCCATGTACTGCTTTTCAAATTATAGTTTGGTCCTCTCATTGGACAAAGTAATTTCTATTGCACTATTTATTGAACCCAATGCAAGATCACTTGATTATGGGCCCATCAGTTTATATATTGATCAAAAGCCTGAGAAGGGTTCTGGTGTAGTTTGTTGGCTGCATTTTGTTATTTATACACAGAATGTGCAAGTGCAGTGTAAATAGAAAAGAGAGTTCCTCACATTTTTGGCAAAGTTTCTTCTTCCATTTCCCACAGCAATCTCATGCAGATGGCATTGAAACTAGTCCTCAAGTATTGTAGGTAACGTGCTATTCACTTGTAAACATATTTTATATACAAGGGGCTTCATTTTATATGCGATTAATAAATCTGAAAACGTGAGTTGATTTTTGGTTTGCATTATATTAATGTTATAATTTTTTATAATTTGGTCATCTTAATTTCTAAATACCATGATTGTATCTTAGAAGCAAGTGACAAAGCTTCAGAATCTGACATAAACGAGGTCGGAGGAAAGTTGATCTTTTGCTGCCAAGAGAGGGCCCATTTCCCTTTCCTTGTTTTTTGTCATATTGGATTCGCAGACCATGGATTTTTATCTACATTTTATATTTGTTTTGGTTACCTTGTGTAAGGAAGAAACAATTTAGGGTATATGTGGGTTCCATTTTCCTGTTTTTGTTTTTTAAGATTATATAAATTACTAATTTTAATTGTTTTTGCATGAACCGAAACATTTTTGATACCTTAGAAACAGTGAACTGTACCTTAGAACTCCAATCCTGACATATCAATTTGCACTATTAATCTTTTCTTCTGTGGAATGTTTAAATTTTGAGTTAACTGGTTTTGTAGAAATGGTTTTTACTTAGGAGTCCTATCATTACTACTCATTCTTCTATTTTAACAGAAGACTGATTATGGTAATTGTTATGAAACATGCTCTAAGAGTAAAATTCTGATGTACTCCTAGTGGATGAGAATCCATAAAGATCTGTTTGTCTTCTATACATGGATATTTGATGGAGGGTATCTTGGTCTCCATACTTAAGTTTATTTGAATTGGTCTTAACTTAGTAGTTGACCTTTTGAGGTATAAAGAATTTCATATTTGAGCTTTCAAGATGCTTGTGGGAGGTTTAGCTAGAAGAATTTTTTGCTGACTTTTTATCATCTCCCTAGTCTTTTATAGGCTAGAATTTGTCCCGTGGAAAGTGTGTTGTTTATGAGAAGGTTCTATATCATTTGCTCTAAGAATAATGGTATGCTCATCATTATTTACCTATGCCACTCACCTCACCAAGTTTATGAGACAATATATTTTAGGATGGAAGACCTGTATCTTGCAATCTAAGAATAAGGCCATAGGGTGCTGTGGGTAGTCATGTAACCTTGTTACAGAAATTTTAAAGGATTTCCTTTCTTGGAGATGATTTCCAGCTGCAACGATTTAGGAACTTCTTGATCATATTTGGGTAGGCAATGGAACACTAGTTGCTCGCTGATCACATCATTAGACATAATTGGCATGTTCTTTTAGTTGCTAATGATTTTTTGTCACTTTAAAAAAAAAAAATCATCTTGTATAACTACCTGGCAACTATGTTTGGAATGTGGAATGGGGTTCGACATAAATAATATTTAACATGTCATGGATATTCATGTAAGTGAGATGCAAAGGCAAACAATAAGAATACACCTTTCTTACCCTTTTTCTGTGAGCTGCATTAGCAAAAATGTGGATTAGTTTGTTAGCCCCCGTTTGATCTACATTATTATCTCATTAAAATGAAAAATATGACCGTTATTCATCACATCAACATTTAAATTTAAATTTTCTATCTCGTGTGGGCCACGATAACGGATATATTTTTCATTCTCATTCTATAATAATTTGGCTAAAACAGGGCCTTATAGTGGTTTCAAATTATTATTCTTTGTTTTAACTCATTTTGAGGTGGTTCATGCCTAGCTTGCTTTGTCAATCTGACCTTACCTGAGTGACCTTGCAAACAGGTTTGGGATCTTGGTGGGCAAGATAGACTCCGGACGTCATGGACAACATATTATCGTGGGACGCATGCGGTAATCGTAGTGATAGACAGCACTGATAGAGCTAGGATCACTCTTATGAAGGATGAACTATTTAAGCTGCTTCCACATGAGGATTTACAAAGTGCAGTTGTACTCGTCTTCGCAAACAAACAGGATCTTAAGGATGCCATGACGCCTGCTGAAATAACCGATGCACTATCCCTCCACAGTATCAAGAACCATGATTGGCATATTCAAGCTTGCAGTGCTCTCACTGGCGACGGTCTGTATGATGGTTTGGGATGGATCGCACAGCACGTCACTGGGAAAGCGCCAAGCTAGAATGATGAAATACCATGAAAATGTTCTAGTGATGTTTTCAAGTTCGGAGTATAGATCGTTTGATGTATCATTAATATTCCATGACACGTGATTTGTAGTTCTCATGTTGATTTTTCTTGAAAGGGTTGTCTTGGGCAAAATTTCCCTTTACTGTATTTTACTGATGACACATTGTAGTGCTCAATTATCTTTTATATGAGTTACGTGATTTATACACTTAAATGAGGAAATATTTAAATTTATGCAGTGTCAAATGTTAATAATGAGGAAATATTTAACTTTATAGTGTCAAATGTTAATAATCCATTCCGGATTGTCAGACTATATTTGGTCACTTCCTTCTTTTTCGTCGTTCAACTGATTTTCATTTTGCGGAAGGCGTCGTGAAGTATGCTGTGAACTCTTCGCAACGACATCTTGAAATCATATTTATGAACTTCGAATATGTGTTGAATCTAGGTTGTAAAAGGTGACGTTAAGCTGGAAAGCAATCAATGGCAGTTTCAGGTGGCCATTTTCGTAAGATATACCGTACCCTCCAGTGAACAATTTTTTGTTCGGATTATTGTAGAATGAAAATGAAAAATATAGTTGTTATTATTGTAGAATGAAAATGAATAATATAGCCATTATTGGATCCACATAAGAGATAGAAAATTTGAATTTAAATGTTTATGTGATGGATAACGGTCATATTTTTCATTTTAATGAGATAATATTGTAGATCAAACGGGGGCTAAAGTATAGTGAAGTACGATCGGAGTTGTGCGAAACAATGTCCAGAACTCCTTCAAATGATCTCAGACGGGCCATTGAAATCAGCCATCAAAAGTGAATGAATCACTGACAAGGAGAATTTGGAGTTTTTAGCAACCATGTGCCGAGCTCAGCTTCTTCTGCTTCTCTTCCTTCGTAGTGACTTGGTGATCTGTGCACCCGCTTCGTATCTTCGACTTCAATGGAATGAGTTAGAGATCCCACGGATTTATCCTTTCTTGAATTTCAAGACTTATATTATTACTAGTTGTATGCGCGTGCAATGCACGGGCTGTGGTATTTTTACGGTAATGTTAGTGTATCAAATGCTAATGAAAAGCTAAATAATTCTGAAAATTCAGCAAGTTTATATCTAACATAATAATTAGTTAAATGCATAAGCATATACTTTTGCCAAGCAGCAGTAATGAAATCTTTAGAATTTTGTTGTGTCAACCTATGATCAAAAGTTACCTGACTTACGGGATGAGATGAACAAGTTCAATACTACAAACTCAAATCTCCCTTGCTCAAAAATGTGCACACATTTAATGGCATCAGCTAGAGGACTGATGGTCTGCCCAGCACAAGTGATGCTACTTATAAAGATTTTGATAGACCTAATTAAGAATTACGGCCAATAATAGCAAACAACTCAGCAACTTTTTTGTTTGATAGGTTAACCACATCAACATAAACTTAAGAATTATGGCCAATAATAGCAAACAACTCAGGAACTTTCTTGTTCGATAGGTTAAACATATCAACATAAACTTTGTCATCAAGATTTACCTGACAATCTAAATAGGCTACTAAACCCTTTTCATCCCAAAATACCTAAATACAAACTGATTTGATAAATAAATAAAACTTACTACAGCCTGGTCTTGCTCCTTCCTTGCGACACTGAAACGATGGGCAACATTGCCATTGAGTCCAAAAACCCTTAGATCTGATAATGAAACAACATAAACATATCAACCATGTTGGCAGAGTTGAAATCGTTTTGCTCTGCAATTCCAAATATTACGAAAAATGCATCCGGCACTCAAAATACATGACGAATCAAATGATAGAATCTTAACAGCTTATTAAACTATTGTTACCATAACCTAAATTTATGCCTTCTCCTGAAATATCAAGATTTACCTCCTTAGCACACATTTAAGTTAACAAAATATAGATATACAACAGAGCAACAGTTTTGCTGACTCAGACACGACCATCTTAGCATATTGGGTCTATATTTCCTACGAGAGCTTATAATCTCCTCCCAAGCAAGTGGCTAGCTTGTAAACCTTGGTTGCTCAAAAAGAACAAAGTGGCAAGCAGCAAAGGAACAATTTCTTGATTTACTTCAACATTAGGAAAGACCAACTTATTGAACAGATATTCTGGAGAATATAATATCTTCAAGTCGTTACCCCTTTGTTTCATGCTATCAATTAATAATTTTCTACCTTCTATAAGGGCTCAAGTATATCTGTATAAGCTTAGATTATACCTTCTTCTGATGCAGACAGATTCTGTGGTTTTAGTTTCTATCTAATAGCTAGTTTCTACTAAGAAAAAACAGCAAAATTATTTGGCTGTTGCTAGAAGGTCGGTCTATCTGTAAGGGTACGCAAGAACATTGATTTAAAACAAATTCTTGATAGCAACAAAGAGCATCCACAATTTTAAACATTCAAAGCATAGAAACTCACAAAGTTAAGATGAATATTCTTTTCTTCTTTTCCAAATATTGATAAATGTAAGAGCTTTTTGGTCAAGCAAGCACACAGAGACACTTTCCCAACAATTGCTCTTCATCTCTCGAGAACAAAGATACATAAAGTTCAAAGACCTACATAGCACAGTATCTGAAACACTTAAAAGGTAAATTATGATTATTCACTATAATGTAAAATGGAGAAATAGCAGTTGTCAAATAAATAAGTTAAAACATTGGAAAATGGTATGTTTATTTTGTATCTATCTACTCTTCCTTAAAAATCTAGACATTTCATTTTAATTGGAAAATAGGGAAGTAGCTGTTAAAAAGTCAATGTAAAAGATCATGGATGCTTATATTGATCATCTCCCATCTTGGCTTGCCCCCTATTGTACAACTTAACTGGAATCATTGTCATCAACTCCAATTTTTTAACCATAAGTGGAATTCATTTCTTCGTGGTCATAACGAAACTGTATTAGCCCCCTACCATCTTTGCCATCTCCCCGTTTTAAAGTCACCAAAATCACTAAATAATTGGAACATGATTTGAACGGCCTTCACATAATTAAAGCAAATAAAGTTAGAAAAGAGATTTGAGCAGCATTTTCAAAATAGTTCAAAATAGAAAGCACGTATACAAGACACCAATAAAGATTCTTGATCTCTTCACATCAAAATTAGATGTAAGACACTTGTGATTTCTCTATCTATCAAATACAAGTTGTGTGAGAATGACTTTCGAGCGTATAGAAAAGTAAAGGGAAAAAATTAACCCCCTACATAACTACAGTTGCAAAATTTACTATTGGGTTGATGTTGACAAGGGAAGCACCTGGAAGGAATCCGAAGCACAAGATTAAAGAAACCTCGAGTGGATGCTAAGAAATTTGAGTCCACAGGGATCCCTTTTGTCACTCCACTGTTATCCATTCCACAACGGTGCAAACCAAAATTGCATCACCGTGTCTGATTTGATCCAAGAAGCAATGCATTCAGCATGATTTGAACGGCAGCATCATAAACCATTCCATCATAGTGCTTACCATCCACCGTACACTGAGGCCCACATAGTTCAGTCAGCCAACGAATATCCAGTTACAAAAGTGGTCCTCCAGATTGCCACAAAAGCTTGGTTCTAGAAACTTCATCATCATAAGCATTGCACATTACATCATTCATCTTCTCCCTCTTTTCAACTGTGTTTAACATTGAGCTTATCTAGCGACTGGCATCCCAAGCCAAAACAAATGTGGTGACCTAATCCACGCCGACTCACTTGCCTTCCTATCAATGGAATCCGTATTCCGAAAAACCGGCAAAAGCGCCAAAACTAAATCCTTCAATGCCGACAATGATATACCATATTCTGTTGCATTATTCACGAGCAACATATCCCATAACCCAGCTCCCATCAAAATGACGTCCGGATAATCCTTATTTCCCTTGAATTCCAACATCAAGTTGGTCAAATTTCTCACATACAATGCCCACATGAAATCCAACTTCATCCCAATCTCATCAACAGTTACGGAATAATCGCTGTCTCTTAAACAAATCCCCTCTGATTTTATTCATCCCCTCCGGACCCATGACCAACTCTAACAAAGAAACCACCATTAACCTCGCCTGAGAGTCCCCTGCAACAACTACCCACGACCCATTTAACAACATCGAGACATCTGGTTTCTTTAACTTTTGAAACCCACATTCAGCAACACTTCCCGACTGTGTCCATTTCCACGACATTCTATTACAACCACTATCACTATTACTATCGACATCATCATCCACACCTTCACTATAGTTACTTTTATACATAACAACACTATGTAGGAAAAAAATGCACGGATTGTGGAAGAAGAGGTTGTACCAATCGGCAACGATGAATCAGAAATCGATGAAGGCTTGTACAGGAAATTAGATATTTGATAAATTCAAGGAGGGAACTGGGAATCTGATATAATGCAGACAGAGAAATAAAAGATAGGCAGAGAAAAGGAAACGAGATAGGCCTGCTCAATGAGCAGGGAAGATGATGAAGTTTTCACTCATTCAACTTGAGGAAAATACAATGCAACCTACTCTATTTATAGAAGAAAAACTAACCAATTATCTAACAAATCTAACAAGATAACAAACTAAGAAGGAACTAGAATATGCTAGAAGAAGCTGAATTCTGAACTGGTATGCTGTGAACATGAGTTTCTGTTGAACTGGAGAGAAGAAGGTTGTGAACTGGAGAGATGAAGAACGTGGGCTGGGCTGCTAGTTTGTTGATGTGCTGTTGGGCTGATTTGGACTAATATTTCAACACTCCCCCCTCAAGATGGAACATCTTGAACCATAGAGAAGGAGAGTAGAGATGCAATCAATTTCTCAGTTGCTTCCTTATCACTTTTTATGCTTTCTACTTTATTCTCTTCAACCTGTAGTTTGGTAAGCAGTCCTTTCTTCTCTTCCTCAAGCTCTCTAATCTGTGCCCTTAATTTTCTCATTTGAGATTCTTGAGCAGCTTGCCTTTTTGAAAGCTCTTCACCTTCGGTCATAACCTGGGTGATTATTTCATCTTTTTCCTTCAAAAGAGCTGCAACTTCAGCTCTAGGGCAGTAGAACTAGCAGGTACTTGTGATGGTAAGGGATACCGAAAATTTGAGCTGGCATTAACAAGGAATTCATGGAAAATTAGAACTCAGAAATTACTGGAAAGTGCTGAGAAGCCCACAATTCAGCAGATGCAGCGGCTTCTTAAAGAGGGACTGGCCATAAGCATTCCTCCAGAAGATTATTATAGACAGCAACTATCGGCATTGAGGGACTTTGGCTTGCGATGGGAAAATACGGCCAAGAAGGTCTCAAAGGATGGTGGAGCACTTCGATTTACTGCATCTGTCGAAGACCTTACGACCAGAGAGCAGTTCTTGCTTGTGATAAATGCAATGAATGGTATCATTTCGATTGCATGAAAATCTCTTCAACACATATGAGGACTGGTGCAACAAAACTAAGCTGCGTTTTCTGTAATTCAATTTCATCAAAATCTTCATATCTTTATTTTGAAGATAAAATCAATCCGAAGATCTGAGAAGCTGCCATCCTAGCAGGTTCGATCTTCAATTCCTTTTCATTGGAGCTGCCATTCCAGCAGGATCTTTCTCCAATTTTATTTCAGTTTCATTTTGATTCCCTTTCTGGGAATAAATCAACCATTTCGTGAAGAGGAACAACATCTCTTCAGTTTTTCATCCATTCCGACATTTCGTCGAACATCTAGTGAGCAAAGTCACTATCCCGTTTTCTGGTAATCTGATTTCTGATTTTCGATTTTTTTGTTTTTTTTTTTATTGAATTGAGAAAAGATAAAAGGAAGAAGAAGAATTTTGGATGAAGCATCTAAACCCGCTCTGATACCATGATAAATTCAAGGAGGGAACCGGGAATCTGATATAATGCAGACAGAGAAATAAAAGATAGGCAGAAAAAAGGAAACGAGATAGGCCTGCTCAATGAGCAGGGAAGATGATGAAATTTTCACTCATTCAACTTGAGGAAAATACAATGCAACCTACTCTATTTATAGAAGAAAAACTAACCAATTATCTAACAAATCTAACAAGATAACAAACTAAAAAGGAACTAGAATATGCTAGAAGAAGCTGAATTCTGAACTGGTATGCTGTGAACGTAAGTTTTTGTTGAACTGGAGAGAAGAAGGTTGTGAACTGGAGAGATGAAGAACGTGGACTAGGCTGCTGGTTTGTTGATGTGCTTTTGGGCTGATTTGGACTAAAATTCCAACAATATTGAAGGAAAAAAGGGGGTTAAGTGCACACCGACAGAAAGTGTGATGAAAAGGGCACAGCTGAAAAAAAGCATCTTATTCCGGCTTAAATGCCACCCCGCCATACCCATCGGCATGAACAACACAATCCCGGCTACCAATAATCCAAGCGGTACAGCCTCGAGCATTTCCTAAAATTCCTGATTTCAAATCAAAAGTGACACAAAGGTGGGTTATTTTTCATCGAGAAAAGCCGAAACTGATGCTGATGGTGATAAAGTTTAAGAATAAAGTTTATTGGGTAGGGGGAGTTTGGACGGTGATACTGATGGTTTAACAGGCTCCATTAAGAGGAGAGATTATACATACTCAAGATATTTTGATGTAAACTCGTTTTTGAACAGTACCTATCCGGATCATTATTGAAGGAAAAACTGCAAGCTTTAAATTTGGGTTTCTGGATAAGGTTAAAATAAATATTGGTAAATTATTGTTCTCTTTTAAGGGAGTAGTGATTCTCTGCCGTGAGGGAGGAGAAACGAAGGTGAGGTAGACTGAAAGTTGGTTTGCTTTGCTTACGTTTTGATTGGAGAAGAAAAGGCGATAGTTGCAACAAAGTAAAGCAATAAAGCGGGGGATATTTTTCAAACTAGCAGGATAGGTTGTCTTTTTTATGTTTTCATAGAAAAGTCTATTGTATTTTTAGCGTCTGTTTGAAATCCATTTTCTTTCCAAAAATTCATTCTTCTACAGTAGATTTTTCAAATCTCGTGGGACCAATGCAGACAATCTATCAATTTCATGTCAGACTATATTCATTTAATTATTGTTTCCAAATTGCCCCTCCATTGTGTTAGGTGTAACAGTATTCACGTGAATTAAATGATGAGGGTTTTTGTGGAAATTTACTTGTACAGAATGAGGGCAAAACCGGAAGATGATTCAACGGGAATATGGGATTAATTGGTTGTCTGACACACTTTTTGACCTTGGGCAATAATTGGTTGTCTTACACTCTTTTTGTGGAAATTTACTGTAGTAGAATGAATTTTGCACCCAAAAAAACGGGTGTCAAACATAGGCTTAGTTGTTTAACTGTCCTTCACG